GAGCTCGTTAAACTAAATATAATATCTGAGTATTAGTTGTTATTAATTATTAACCCGGTAAATACAAGGATCAGAGACTATGAGTATATAATAAATTTTATATCTATTTAAGATTGAATTCCGCGATAGAAATAATATGAACTGGTAAGTGTCAGTCGAAAAAATGTTTCAGTGTGAAATGTACTCGATAGGATGATGGTCTCCGTATGATACACCCTACAAATGAATTTCAAGACCACGTGTAATACAGTTACCAATTTCAAATTTCGCGATAGGGTTGTGGTAATCTACGACCGAAAAAAGAAGTGACATAAACAGACAAATTGGTGTTTCCGTCTACTAACCTCTATTTGCGCTTATCAATGAGTAGGTTGTGGTGTCATAGCAGGTCTATGCTAATGATTGGTATAGAAAAATCTGTAACAACGAAAATCCAGTGTTTGGGTTCGCGTAAACTCACGTTAAGATAGACGTACCGTTTACCATATGTGGCGATAGGTTTTCCGTTTTCATCTATAAGTTTAAAACCAGCTCGTGCAGTCGATCGTTAAAATTCACTGGAAAAACACTAACTTCTGCACCCGTGTCTGCGAGGTAGCGAAATTTCGTTATCAAATCAGTGACGTATAACAGACGGCTGTGATCGCCGAATACGGCTGCCGTTAACGCGTAATGTTTTATTTGTTGGTCGATTTATGGTTCGAAAAACTGCAGGGTTTTCTATAATTTCGAAAAGATTTACCGTACTGATTGTGACACCAGCACCAGTTGTGGTCTATGGACAGATCGCTTTCGTGAATAACTTTGCGAGGTCATTACGAATTGGGAGGTAACATGTCAGCGTCTGACATAGTTCCGTGATGTCATTCTGTGTCGCTTGATTTTGTTCTTTGGCTGAATAAACCTTGGCGTTAAAAGATTTGGTAATCTCTGAGATGCGGTTGGGACGAGACTAGAACAGCTTGCACCTGTTGAGGGAGTTTAGACAAGTAAGTTGTCGAAATAAGCCATCATCGAAAGTTCTTTAACCATTTGCTTCTCTCATTCTTAACAACATGTCTGTCGCTGAACCGTGGTGCAGATCGATATTATTAAGGTGTTAGTTTAACTTTTGTCGATCGGTTAGGTCTCCACGTTTTAGAGTTTCGTAGGGTTCCGAAACACCACTAATTAACGTACTAGGTGTTACGTACTTGTTAAGCTCGGGCGGTAGTGCCTTGAATACTGCTAGGAATTGTGCAAGGGTATCGGTTACGCCGTGCTCGTAGTCTCTAGCTTAAGTACCGTAAGTGTCCGTTCCGTCATGGAGAATATGAATTACCGGGATGATATATCCAAAAATACGAAAAAATATCACAATATATAAACATTAAAGTAAAGCAATGATATATGAAATTCCAAAAGGGAATAGACATTTTACGAGTCGGTGTACCAGACCACGTCAACTCACCAATGAAGATGTCACAGGTATTCGTAGTTTGACAACTCTTCAACCGGTAATAATTTCTATAACTGAATCGTGCCCACCCACTAAAATCAATGGCCAGAATCGGGGAGGTTTGAGGATATATTTGATTGACTATCAATATATCGAGGATCCACTGATCTAATCTGGCTAGCGATTGCAGGGGATGTTCAGCACGGCGTTCTCACTCGTGGTCTGGTGCGGACGTGTGACCGATCGCCTTCAGCTGTGTGAGCCCATTAAAACTAATGTGTTTATAGGCAATTCAACTACATAAAATGGCAGTTATCAATACTAGAAACGATGATATTATCAAAATCTTCCTCCAGAACTCTCTAAACCCAATCATTCACTCATTTACGCATAATACCCTTGATGGAGATAGGCCACTAAACTAATTGTGGTTCGTAAATCTGTGGATTAATTGCAAAACAGTTAATAATAAACTGCAAATTGTAACGAAGTGAAATGTTTCTTAGTAGGAGGGCGAAAACTGAATTAGAAATCCAGAAACCTATTCAATAAATTCCAGAAATCATCATATGGACGTGAAGTGTTTTAAAACGCTAATATTTTTGGCACATTCTTTATTATTTGTTTACTATTTCTGTGACTAAATGTCAGCATATTAATCGTAGAATTAAAGTCAGTATTAGAATGTACTATATTATCTTAGTAGTATATCATAGCTAAAGCGATTCAAAACATGAGTTTGAGAAGTAGCAAGCATGAAAGAACAACCTTAGTTTCATTGAATGGTCGCTTCACATCTAATTATAGAGAGCCGGAGGCAAAAAAATTATCTCTTACACAAGCACGAAGGAATTTGGTTTGCTACCCTAATAACTAACGTTTAATGGTCAATGAAATTACCTTTTCTCAATTTTTTTATGCTAGGCTATTTTAGGGTGATTGTTGAATAAATTATGTTTTACTCAAGGCTTTTTCTTTCATACCTAATTATGAAAACTATTTCTTCAAGTGCCATGTTATAGGTATATCAAACGACTACAGCTTATGGGCTGCGTGTCGAACATCGATGCAGTGTTGTACATTACTACGTGATAACGTATGAGTTTTCGGATAAAGTATTAGTTATCATGAAAACATGATGACTGATAAATGTATAATAAAGTAGGTGGAACGATATGGGGATGTAATACCTAGCAATAAGACAATTAGCAACGAGATCAACACATCAGTGAGTTAATAAAATGAATATGAAAGCATTAAACTAATGGAACATTGACAAGAACAGAGTCACACCACTTTGGAGTTGATAATGTTTTAGGTCATCTGTTTAAGTGATAGTTTTAAGACTTAACAAATGTAAGACCTTTATTAGTTGAATGGCATATCTGTATATCATAGTAATTTATGAAGAGACGATGTATGGTATCCAAGGAAAGCATGGCATATAGTGTTTGAACTTGGAAACGTATAATATATAATAATGTAGGATCAGAAAACTGTGGGGAGAGTGTGTGGCAGTTTTGAGCTACCTGACGTTTACTAAGTTAAAATATCAGATCAAACGTGGCTATATCAGTAAAAGTAGCTTAACTTAAATATGGAACAATACGTAGGAACGAGAACCTTAGTAGCCTTATTTAGAAGAATTTAGATATACTAGGAATCAAATGTAACAAAATCACTTGCGACTCGAAATGTCAGGAAATGAAACAGATGTACATACAATGACTTTGAGACTTAATTTGTTAAATTATAGTGATAATATGTCGATAAAAGAAGGGCTTCATCTTGCTGGATGAAAAGGCCAAGTACAAGAAGCCTCAAGCTGTGGTGCATAGCCGCGATTAGATGATTACACAATGTACTTAAGCAATTATTAATCAAAAACTTATTACAAGGTTCAGTAAATTCAGTTCAGATAGTTGAGTATCGAATGAAATAAGTAAACTATTCCACGATTTCTGTATTGAACAACAAAGTGATTAAACCTTAAGAGTGAGTGGTACTGAAGGGACAGTGAAATTTCACTGAGCCCTAGCCAATTCTTCCGGCAGTCGAGTCATTAAATATCGACAAATCATTGTTCTCGTCAAGGTCGATGACATTCAACGCGCAACAGTTAACCGTACGCCATTGTAACGGGGTTAAGGTCATCGTGTATGGTGTTGTTGATATATTCTGTTTTACTTTCTATTACAGGGCAACCAAGAGTAAATGCTTTAAAAGAAGAGCAGGCTCTGCATGCACTGAACCTACAGGATGACTCTTAAGACTGTTTTGTAAACTAGCTCTCCCTTCTGTACATACCCAAACAACCCAAAAAGGGGAAATATCACTTTTTCGTCTTTACGGTGGTTATTTAGGGGAAATGTCGCTTCCCCCCTTACGTCGTGTATTTGGGGGGAATTTGCCGACAGTTAAACGTGACGTATAGTGTTTGAATAAACCGCATCTAAAACTTAAGTTACAACCCGCGAATTAAAATTTTCAGATAAACAACTGGTGGTTTCCATTCCGTGTTGCATCTGGTATGAAGTGCTCGGTCAACATTGTGTGTGTTGTGATTTTAGGTCTTCCTGCCCATCAATGACTGCTGATTACATGTGTTACACCATGGACTGGCCTATGCGGTAGTGATCTTACTTTCGCTTGTGTCTAACTTAACTAATGTATCTCTGTAATAACGTCCTCTGTGTTGTGCAGCCTTCAAAGCATCTACAGTGCCTTGATACGCTAATGGGGTAGTCCACGTAAGGTGCTGACCACGAGTTGTGACTTCGACGTTCGCTGGTTCGTCACACCATTCTCGACTAACTTGAGTAGGCCACCAATATAACATTCTGAATACGGATTTAAAATAAAGCTTTTCTCTTCCAAAACACAGTTTTTGAAGATGCGATAGTTCAGATAGTATCCCAAAAATATTTCTACTTGATCCAGACGCACTTTTTTCACTCAGAAGTTATTATATCTTAAATACTAAAAAATGATCCTCCGGATACAAAAATAACTTGAGGGGGTTGAAAATTATCCATCTAATATAAAACAAGGGAAAGCTAAAGACCTTGAATAATATACAGGTATTCAGGATTCTACAGTGCTCTTGTCTGTAATTTAAAGATATCAATCCAGACAAATCAGAATTCAGAGATGAATGCGTTCAAAAATACATATGTAAGGTTTTCGAGACGTGGAGAACCGTTTGATATAAGCTGGCTAGTAGTTGCAGGGGATCTGTAACACGACGTACCCACTCGTGATCGGGTGTGGGTGTGCTTTTAACTGGGGTGTGTTCAATAAAACTACCGAGGCCAGAATCAATGTCGAAGACTCACGGAGCTCTTTAACATTTAACATTTTGATCAACCATTTATAGGTATGGAGAGCAGCATATAGAATAAATGATTTTTTTCATTTTCAATGAAGAAATTACTCAAAGATGCTTCAGCAAAATCACGTGGTTTAACCTGTTTCAAATACAACAACAACAGCAATAGTAATAATTCCTCTTAGATTTATGATTAAAATAGTCAAATACATTGGACAATATCAATTTTCTGGTTTAATACCTTGCACTTGCAAATTTCGATATTTGAAGTTCACCATCCCACACTGGAATAGACCAGTGACCAGTAGCTAACAGTTTTTGCCATGGATGTCTGTTGTAGTCAGTTTCATTTGAGTTAACGATATTATGCACAAGTTCGGTGAGCTGTTCCTCTTTTTTCTTATTCTTCTCAAACTCCCGTGAATTGTCAGCTATTAGTTGTTTATATCTAGTTCGCTGGTCAGCGATTTGTCGTTCTAAGGCGTTACGATATGTCTCAACATTCTGGCGTCGCAACTGCAGCTCATACTTAGAGTCTAACTTCATTCGTTCAATAATTTCGTTCAGTTCTTTCACTTCTTCTATGTGTTCAAGTTTTTCTTCATCCTGCTTTTTTCCTGAAAAAAAAACATAATAAGACATTAAAACAATTAGTCCCTTTGATAAATTTCGATAATGATATTAGAAGACGTCTTCTAATATCAGCTCCACTAGTATTTCGAACCAGATCCCACCTTAAACGCGTGAATAGCGGAAGTTAAATGCGATTGGCCACTGAAAGCAAACACACTAGGATTGCCAACTATCAAATATGTGGTCTCCTTCCTGTTGTTAATTTTTACTATGCAACCACTGAATATTGATTGCTTGTAATTGTGTTGAGTAAAGAATTGTTTAGCTTGTACTATGGCTTCCTATTTTTGGACGTAAATCGTGTATCTGGTGTAAATTGATTCAATTTATGCATAAAATATCGACCGAATATCTAGTGATAGTACGATCTCAGTCACAGGTCGTATTTCAAATTCAAAATGGTGTCATCTCATATTCATTAGCTGGATGAGATTTAGTGTGGGTGTTAATATCCTGGGGTTGTACATGAATAGTGTGACTGCACAAAGTATGCAATCTTACGTTGGATTCACAATGTGCAATAACTGTTTAGCTTGACTTCACCTAACTTGGCGGTCCGGCTGTAGCAGTAAATGAATCCTCAAAATAAAGAGCTCCGTTAGTCTTCGACATTGATTCTGGCCTCGGTAGTTTTATTGAACACACCCAGTTAAAAGCGCACCCACACCCGATCACGAGTGGGTACGTCGTGCTACGGACCCCTTGCAACTACTAGCCAGCTTATATCAAACGGTTCTCCACGTCTCGAAAACCTTACAGATGTATCTTTGGACGCATTCATCTCTGAATTCTGGATTGATATCTTTAAATTGCAGACAAGACCATTGTAGAATTTTGTATATCCATGTCATCTTTACGGCTATTCAGCTTGTACAGGAAGATTCAGAAAGCGAATAAAATCTTGTCACTTAAACCTTTTGCTTAGACACATAGAGTATGAATCTGGACGAGAAGCAATCGACTACTGCTTGTATTAGTACTATAGTTTGTAATGGTCAACCCTAGTTATCTATAATTGACTTGAATGTAGCTCGTCAAACAACCTAATCATTGACAAGTCCTCCAAGGTAGGGATAAGTTCAGCTTCATAGACAATTCAACAAGGGTCTAGTGATATTTCACACATCCTACAAAGTGATCACTTGAGACAGTCAGTAGATACATGCCTATTTCTATTCATGAAATACGTAGAAGTGTTGTGACTGAAATAAATTTGATACCTTTTAGCCAGATATTTAGTAAAATCTGTAACCATAGTTTTTCATCTTTTTGCTATATTTCAAATGAACGCTAAACTAGTGCGGTCATTCATGTTTTCCAAAACAATTAGTGAGTCACCAGTACCCTGGATAATTACTGGTCTCATTTTCTCAAGAACTTAACAAAAAAGCTCAGACGTTTATCCATTGGGATTATTATTCCTAATCAATGAAACCTGTGTCATCCTAGATCCACTGGTATTATTTGTGCAATATGATTTGTAACCAACATGTTTCTTTTACCAGGAAGCTTGAAACTGATGGCAATACCATGGAGTAGTTGTCAATATTTGTTTAATTTAGGAAACATTTCTCGCCATCCTAACAAGTTTCTACACATTTACAAAAATTCTAAGGATATTTTAAGGCACACAACAGACAAATTAACAGATATTTATCTCATACCATTTTGGTATAATATAATAAAATACTATATAAAGATATACAACTAACTTTTTTCCACTATTTGTTGTCGACATACTTTGTTTACATCATTTTTCAAATTTTCTCTAGCTACTAGAAGCTGCATTTTCTTATGGTGACCAAGGTTTTGCTGCTTTGCAATATGTTCGTCAATACTTCTGCTAATTTCTTCTTCATACATCTTTTCGGCTTCTTTTGAATCACGAACATGCTCTAAATACTGTAACGCCTCTTTCTTCAAAGTAACCTAAAAGTCGAATGATCGAATTGGTTTTTTTATTTGGGCTATTTAAAACCAAGGAAATTTTTTTTCATTAAATCCTATTTCTGATTACCTTCACATTGTCGGGTCAGCAATTTGTAATCATACTTTAAAGAAAATAAAATGAACAGGAAAAGAAACATCTCTCATTCAGCACGTTGTCTTCAGTAATCAAATAAAATAGTTTGCTAACACAAGAATTAATTTCCGGTCTTGTTTACATTATGATACCACTTAAAAGTAAGGTCCTCCTGGAATTTGCTTCAAGATCTTCTTTCATTTGCATAAAACATTGACCATACAGAATTCGGGCTAAACATTAGAACACCATCGACACCTAATTTCATATTTCTCTCTGACTAAGATACAAAACGTCTGTGGTAATTACAAAGAATAAAGAAATCAATATAAAACGAATAGAATTGTCATAACAAGCCACAATTAGTAGTGTTTGACTACCAACTACGCCTAGTAGTGTATAAATAATGAATTACGAACCTGATTTTCCCAAACCTACAATAGAAGGTCCCTAAATGTCACTGGTTTGTTGAATTTAGAAACACAACTCGGAAATATTTTTGGTGTGAGAACATCCAATTAATTTGCCAGGAAGGTAAGTAAATAAGTCCAACAGTTATGATGGGAATGGGTCTGAGCTAACGATAAGAAAGTTAAAATCAGTTGATGACGTGTAAACAATTAATGTGATGGTGATTTTACCTAATCTGTATTAACAATCATGTGATAAAAGTTATTAAACGATAGCTATATTTTTAAACGTTGAGTTGTAATATTGATTGAGGTACATAGTGTTATTACACATTGTTTATCAGAGAATTCTAAATACATGCAGAGAGTTTCAATACAAGGTGCTAGACTATCTTCCCAATATACAAAAATGTTTAGCTGACAAAACATAGCAGCGTCTAAATGTTCTGCCACCACTTCAGTGTTAAGTATTCATGAAACAAACTTATCTCTCTGCAAGTACATTCACTGCCTAAAATTTATGAAGCGATATGAGTTTTTACAATAAATTAAACGTTAATAATAATATACAATACCAAACACCACTAACGTTTACTTTTCATAAACTTTGTAAATCTGCTAAAAATAGTCATGTTTTTGACTTATTTAGTAACAAACGTTCTTGATTTGGTATACCTAGTTTATACATACCTAAACTACTTTGTTATTCATTGTCAATAAAAATATGTAAAAATACATTACCTTGTCCCTCTGATTTCCACTCCTCTCTTTATCTACTTGTTGATTTAAAAGGGTTAGTAAATTGTCGTACTGAGCTTCCTGGTTGTGTTCTTCTGATTTCCTTAATAGTTTTTCCTGTAAACACTTTTCCAAGTCCAATTTCACCTTAGAGAACCCTAGTTTCTTTTTTGTTACCTCATCTTCTTTTTCTTGCTTCAGTTGCTTATTTAATTCTTCCTAACAGGTTATGATAAACAGAAGACATTATTTCCAGAGGGACGCAATAGGTAGTAAAATTTGTAATTGCTAAATCTACTAAAATTCAGCTGACTTCTACACGGCTGCTCAGTACATAGTACAAGCTGACAAAACCATCAGAATAGTAAGGTACTGTGTGGGAAGTCATTCAGTTAGCTACAACGTAGGACCAGACACATATATGCACCGGTTCAAGTAGCCACACCTAATTAGCACAACAAGATGAACACCAAATTCATAGAAGTAATCACTTCCATGGTAGTAATATATAAAAGAAAGATTGCATAAAAGGATATAATTCAGGAAGAAAGAATTAGTTCGTAGGAAGTGAAGTATAAAGTAATTTTAATCGCACGGTTTAAGGGAAGACAAAAGGTGTATACACCTACGCTAATTTGATCGATTCTGAGCCATATCACATTCTCCAACCGTTGGTTATGATCGTCACGCGGACCCCGACCAAGTAGTCTGCATCTACCAACATGGCTCAGATCAGAAGTTATTGACTTCAAACACTGATGCCACGTCTTGGTTTGGCCGCCCTTAACTTTCTTCCAGCCATCCCCAACACTAGTCAGCATTGCGAGTCGTGGTAATCTGTGTCCAGGCATAAGTAACAGTGACCCAACCACCTCAGTCGATGAAGATTTACAAAATCATCTGGCTTACCATCATTCCCTAGTACTCTGCGTTTAACCTCACCATTACTTATCTGGTGATCCCAGCAGATGCAAGCAATGTTTCTAAGACATCTGTGATCGAATACTACTAACTCACGAGCATCTTCTACTCTTAATGGCCACTTTTCGCAGCCATAAAGTAGAACAGAACGAAACGCTGCGTAGTATACTCGTCCTTCTATTGATAGACGGATATCTCGCCTTCGTCAAATGTGACGTAAATTGGAAAAAGCCAAACGCGCTTTTCGAATCCGTGCTGGAAGTAGCTGGTTGCCCACACCTTGGAAGGGTTCCTCTAGAGGTACCTGAAATGGAAATTGGGCTGGGGTGAGCGTGACCGCAGTGACCAAGAGACAAATACAACCATTTTGTAATTTTCTTGTTAGCTCCGTACTTGTTAGGACCTTACTGCTGGAGATGGATATCCGTGGGATAAGGCGAGGTGTGTATTTTTAGGATCGACTTTTTCTAACCCCATCCCTCCTTATGGGAGGGCAGCATCGCTGTTGTGCTGGTTGTCTGAAGGAAACACCTTACTGCCGTCACACCTCTATACAGTTAGCAGTACGACTTCGCCTTTGAACCTTGAGTTTGTTGCTTTTAGTCTTACCGCTCTTTAACCGGCCTGTCTGGTATGGTGGGACCTTGAGGAACGATTGTTCCAGCCAGTATATCTCGATTGGTTTATCACGGTAGGCAAACCCGACCACCACGTCAAAGTAACAGCAACGGTCGGGACTGTATGGAAATCAGTATAAAAGCCTAATATGGCCCATAAATAATCTATAGTGTTCATTCATTTATCAAGGTAAACAGATGGTACTCCGTAATTTTGATTGGTTAACAGCATCTTTTGAAATCATTCAGATGATTTGAATTTTTGACCAACTTTAAATAAGAAAATAAATAATCAACGAAAGAAATCCTCTGAATAACTAGACAAAATTAAAACGTTTTAGTGAGGGAGATTTTCTTTTGAACGATATCGTTTGCAAGAGCTGTACAATCGATTTTACAGTTACTTTCAATATATAGTGGTCGATGATAAAAATTGGGAATTATTAAATCATTAAAAGAAGCACTAAGGATTTATTGAAATTTGAAGGCAAACAGTCATAAAAATAAAATATATAGATGAGTTACAAAGGGTTATTCACTGAATGATTATAAGACTAAAAATATGAACGAACACGTGTCAAAAGCAATTTATAAAATAAGCTATAGAACAAAGATCTGAAAGTTAATTTTCCGTTTGGTGAATATAGGAAAATAGAGAATAGAAAACACGTTTATAAAAAAAACAATCATAGCCTAGTGCCGTTGATTTCAGTCAATCGTATACTCTGGCCGATAGAAATAATCGCAGCCAATGTAAGAATAACTCTCATTAGTCTGCCGATACTCAAAATTGTCTTCTATCCCAAGCCTTCAGTCCAAAGAGAAGACTGTAGACAAGCCTACATATCATATTTCAATAAACCAGTTCAGCAGCTACCTCAGGTACTCATTAGCCTATGTACATGACTAACTAGACTACATCCCACCTTAACGTAGGAAATCATAGCTGTTTGACGAACTGATAGAAAGTGTCTATGAACGGAGCAAACTATGAATAATCGATCAGTAACGATTTTGGAATAATAAAACATATAGTAATGACTAGTGAATCAAATGGAAGCTCACAATAAACGAAATGTAGAAATATAATGGTCTAGTTACTTAGTACTTATAAAATAAAAATACAAACAATGATAATCCTAAAAGTAGTCTCAAGAGTTCTGACTTCTCTGATACTCTTTCCGTTATATTAAAAATACAATTTGTATCTCATTTGGATAAAAAGTCGTCTTCCATGATTTGAATAATAAAGTTAGTAATGTCTCCGCATCTGTATCTCCTCTGAACTCAATGGACGGTAGGGATTCTCCTAATTAACTATTCTGGCTTCAGGTTGTTATCAATGAACTTGAGAAAAAATCCATAAATATTTGTTGGTTTTTTCCTATTTCACGTTAATCGTGTCTTCTGTACATATTCCCCAAGCTCACAAAGAGAATTTATCGGATTTTTCTTTCTACTCTGAGAAACCCAACTTTGGAAATAAGTATATTCCCCACTCCGAATTGGCTTTCTATACATCAATATTTGAAATGAACCTATTAGTCTTCTGATCTGAGAAGTGAATTCCTGCATAAATCTATGACTCCAGTATGAATACAATCGACTGATTGAATAATTTGAACTGTTTTTAATGACGCGGTAGCTCCCAATTTCTATTATGGACTTTATGCATGAGAAAAACTATAAATTCAATTGTACAGCTCTCTTAAAGGTATCATACAAAAAATTTCCTTCAGTGAAACATTATTTTGTTTGCATAAATAACCCTTTGTAATAAATTATTTAAACTCGAATATTTAATCATTTTAAGTGCTACTAATGAATTGTAACGTATAAAGGACCTGAAATACGTAGTTTGCACAAACAACTATCATCAGGATGTTTGCTTACTAAATGTTGATATTCAATATACTTATAACTGGTAAACCGTTGTGAAAAAGAATACTAATTTTCAGATGTCTTTCTCACTGAGTAGTTAAATCTAATGTGATGGACGTTCAACTACCTGTTTACTTTGACCGGAATTTCAGCTGGATTTTTAAGAAAACTTTAACTATTAAATGAAGTAATCAAACTGACATGTTGACTAAATGCTTATTTATAATAATAATAATAATAATAATAATAATAATAATAATAATAATAATAATAATAATAATAATAATAATAATAATAATAGCTAATTTACCAAAGCGTTTGCTTGTTTCAGCTTCTCCGCTTTTTCTACAAGTTTTTCCTGCTCTTTTCTTTCTATCTGTCGTCTTAAAACATTCGCGATCCGTCTGAAAATAAAGAAACTCAAAAACAAATTACTTTTTTCCTTCTACAATCATCTGCGCATCAGCTTCATTGGACATATCCTTTGAGTGGGTTAATACGAACTTATCCAAATAGTCATTTTGACGTTTCTCCAGAAGATTTTGCTTCCGTTTCATTTCAATTTGGATTAAAAGATCACGGGCGATTTCTTTAGCTCTACGTTTACTTAATTCCTGACGTAATTCGGCAGATTGTTCTCTGGTAAAAATTTTGGAAAATATTAAGTTCCCTACCAGGCATAAACCATTATTACGCAGTATGAAGTAACGGGAAATAAATATTCATATCTGTAGCAATTTTTTAAAAACTTTACTGTGAAGAAACCACTCCGAAGTTCACAAACTTTAGGTTTTTTAAATATAGACATCGTAAATACATACGAAGTTCAACGTACTTTAATTATTCAGTTTTCACCGACACCCTGAAATTACTTTAGTTGTAAACTCTTCTCCCAACCTTAAGACAAACCTGCTTATCCGTTAGCATGTGGTTTATGTTTAAGAAGTTATGTTGTAAAGATCTACAAGTTTGATATTGAAGAATAGTAACCTATTTATTTTTACCACATAGTCAGTTTAAAACAGATTCCTTATTCTTTTAAAACATCGCTGAGTGTTTTGTGACACTTTATTTGACTCCAATTAGATCATTTGCTGGTTGTTATTGAAATATACATCTCAGCTACCCTAGTATGTTAATACCAACATAATTCACGTTAGGAAACAACGGAATTAAATAGGACAAATATGAGAATGGGTTCTGAATATGCATATTTCATGCAGTAATTAATTTGAACAGAAAATCAGTGAAACAAAACGAAGAAGAAAGAGTGAAGCCAATCGGAGAAGGCAAGTGGGCCAAGCGTAAATTGATATTTATAGTCATACAAAAATAGATTGCAGACACATGATGAATAGGGTAAGTAATTATCACACATACGATCATATAAAAATGTCAGAGTTAATAAGTGACAAGGTCAAAACGTGGTTTAAGAAGAATGAATAGATTAGTCTGTTAAGAAACCAGAATGGCTTATGTGGGCTTGACACAGAATCAGCCACTAAAAAGAATCCCCTGTAGGAAATGTGAATAATTACAAAATAAGTCTATGTTGACTATCTCCACAAGTGTATTTAAAAAATAGTTTACCTTCATAATGAATTCGCCAATATATGGAGGTTACTCCGGTATATTTAGAATAAAAACATTTTCAACAGGGAGTCCAACAGAATGAGTTTACTTATACATTAAAGAAGTTTATTGAAACTTATTAAGTTGTTTGGATTTATTAGGCTTAATATGACGACTAAGTATCAGTTTATTCTGATACCCATTGGAAAGAAATATAGTTGTTCTTTGTTTGTTTATTTGAAACTTATCTTCTCTAAAGCGTCATAGTGGTAGGTAAAATGTCAGTGTAGGTATTTATTGTTGCCTTACGCACACTTTTTTCCAACAAACTCGTGTCATCCATGTTAGTGTTCATATATTTTCATATTTGTGGGATTTCGCTGATGTCTCTATCAAAAGTAACATTACTCTGACTATTTTATGTTTGTAAAAAGCTACTGATGGGAATACAAATGATTTTTAAGCGGAAAAACCTACATCAGTCATTACATCACGAATCTTATCTGGAAAGTAAAAAAATATTTAAAGCTTGCAGTAAGCCACCTAACGCGCTTCAAAATGAATCCACTCGTAAAGTTTAAGGATCGTTTTTACCAATGACTAAGATGACTCTTTAGCGGTAAGTAAATCCTCAAACTAAATAGCTCTGTAAGTTTTCGACATTGGATGCTGACCATATGTTTTAGTGGACTCATCTAGCTGACGGCGCTCGGTCATGCATCCGCACCAGATCACGTGTGGTAACGTTGTGCTCAGCATCTACCGCAATCGCTAGCCAGATTAGATCAGAGAATTCCGGTATATTGGTAATCGCCAAATACACTTTTCCGATCTCCTCGACTCTGTCTTTTGATTTCTCTCGGTGGGAACAAGTTATATTAGAAGGTGTTACTGGTAGAAACGTTGTCAAACACTGAATACCTGTATCATCCTCAACTCCAAGGAATAACGGAAACCTCAAAACGATACATAGAGGTCTCGCCGCATTCTGGGACTTAATTGGGATACAATAACTCTTCAAGAAATTCTCGTCTCTTGCAATGAGATTAATACAAACCCACCAGATTTGAAATCCAACGCACTTACATCGTTCAACTTCGTTTGTTAGCAGTACAACTGGACGATTATTTAAAATTAATGGTGCTTATCGACTTTACTTTCGACTGACCTGACTCCACAGTTCAAGTTTTCTCATGGACATTTCATGATGTTTATCTCATTAATGACCACTGGGCTATTATCTTACACGCAGAGATTTTTAAACTTGAAGGTAGTTTAATCTCTAAATGTGGTTTAAATATGTGAAGCTTAGTATTTAGGTCAAGCGGTTAGTAGGTATTGTGCTTAATATGAAACCAAAGAACCCTGAGAACAAGCACGTTTGGAACCATCAGCGTACTGTATTCCAGGGTTTTAAAAAGCCTCTAAGCTGATAGAATTTTCATGCGAATATGTTTTGCTTTGCTGAGCACTAAAAATTAGGAAACTGGCTTAGACATTTCAAAATCCTGATATATTTCCTTTTATAAAATAGTCCAGATTTCAACAGCATAAGTTAGCTATCTCGATACAATCACACTCAAGCTTATTCTTAGTAACGCAGGTGTAATTGTGAAGTCTATTAACCTTCTCTGTTGGATCTCACGTTGATAGAATTTTGTAAGATCATGGAAACGTAGCATCACATATCACGAATCCAATACAAAGTATTCGAAGATACCCTTTGATACTTACAAATTTCATTAACAGTTCATCTGTATCGTATATGATTTTATTCCTATTTCTTAGATGCTTCCTTAATTTAATCTGTTAGCATGGTTGGCGTCAGATTTCAGTTTTACAGGCCATTTATTTTGTACAAATATTTAATTCATATCACTATTAAAAAGAATCTGAGTTATCCCTTTGTTAATAATTTTGACTGAATTTTGATTAGTGTTTGTTAATATACAAACATCCAGGGCTGACTGTTTCGATATAAGCATTTTGACAAGTTTTTATAGATTGTACGGACTTGCTGCTAGCAGTCGAGTCTAGGACTTGCGTTTAATCCTATTTAAGATTCGTTAGCTATTTTTACATCTATTCCAGTGTTGTAGTTTGTACCAAGGTTCGAAACTGGTACATTTGCTTGCGAAAACCCAAAATGATATTCTCTAAAAGTTTGAATATTTACACGAGTCATTAACAATCCTACCATTAGTTTCTTTACAAACGAAAAAACACATCAATAACTGTAATGCAAATCGAATTATTAAATATCTTTCACTTACCGAAGACGCTGGTCATACTTTTCAAGCGCAATTTTTTCGTCAGTCTCTTTCTTTTGTTTTTCTAGCAATTCAGCTTGTGCTCTCAAATACTTCAAACGCTCAGCTTTTTCCTCACTTGCTGTTTTACAATCTTTTAGAATTTTGTTTTCATCGTTCGTCAGTACAGCTTTTAAATGCTCTCTAGAAGTTTCAGAGTTTAATATCATTTTATCCATAACTGTTAATTTACTTTTTCTTATTAAGTTCTTCAGCTTCCTTAGACTTCGCCTTCCGATAGCGTCGAAGTGTCTCTGCATGGATTTGATTTTCAAGCTTGTCATTTTCCCATATAGCTAGCTCTTTTAATTTGTCTACATCACTAAGTGCTTTAGATAATTGAGATTTAAACTCGTTAATTTTATGTATTTTATTCCATAAATTGGCTGACATAAGTCCACTGTTCTTTGTTTCAAGCTTTTATGCACAAGAATTGTAATGACAAGTAAAATATACTACGTTGTGAGAATTACATGAGAATCAAACTTCTAGTAAGAAGATAAGACTTAAGGATTATTAATCTTGACTAAGTTTCCTATTTAACAAACATATTCTTAACAACTTGCATGTCTGTATTAATTCTATTTTCCTCTGATTAAATAAAACAAATTGGCTCGGTGAGGTCTAGTAAAAATAATTCGTTAGGTTGTTTGCTATCGATTAGTCAACAAACTAATATGACTGGTAAAGATTTTTATCAGTTACTAATAAATATAGCCTTTTTTAGAGTCAAAGAATGATCATTCAAATGGTGGTTGCTGCATAGGATGAAAAGAATCTCAGCTTTGGTAGCTATTTGGTAAGCTTTTTCTTGCCCTGTTCAGTCACAAACCAATCAACAGATAGTTTACATCAAATTACACTGGCTGAAGCCTTGTGTACACAACCTATCTCCCTACTTTGGAGTGTATTTCACTCGCCTAATCAATATTTCCCTCTTATTCCTATTTGCTTCAATTTTGAAGCTCGGTCAAATCACAAGCTGTCTAATTGACCATCTCAGTTTAGGAATCACTGCTCATCATTGATCTGAGTATCCTTCATATCATGGCTCTTCGGTTTTAGGGGTGGATTTTGATGAATACTTATCAACCTTTTAAAAATATCATAAGTTCATCCCAGTCACACTCGTTTTAGACGTAATCCTATGATAAAACACTGGTTGTTGAAATCCTTCCAATAAGTTCGTTAACGTTGCCAAAGCCGCAGCAGTAAGTGCGTTACTACTGATCACTTCAACCCAAAATGACAGACTTCAAAAAATATAAGTATTAAGTGTTTTTTGAGTCGACCTCAAAATGAGAACTGACAAAACTTCACTAAACCTATCATTTAACTTGGAATTTGAGGCAGATATTTTTACCCGAAATGAATACGTGATTCTTGATAATACAAAAAAGGTTTTTGTCCTTAGACTGGTGAATGTTACTTAATAAAAAATTATAAACAGTAATATTGGTTGGTTTAACAGTAATTACGCTGTTAGGGTTTTATTGGTTAGTTGCACCACAGATGCATATTCATAAAGCTGCACATGGACAGATTCGACTTGAAGAAAGTGCGAAGAAACGCTTATGAGTAGTTTTTACTGTAGCTAACCTTATACACTTCCTGTAAGCTAAATAATGCTTAAATTATTGACAGACTTCAAATCATCTACTGACTGGTCATTACATTGATACATGAAACCGAAATATCACTACTGTGAGAAAACCTTCAGAACTTACAATACAGCCGACTTATAGGTCAAAATTTCCATAATTTCCCTGAATGTTTCTCTATACAGAACATTTTTGAGTCAGAGGCTGGCCTCCTCAGACTATGACATTTGAAGAGCATTTACTGTTGACCTAGCCTGTTTCGTCAAAATGTAATGTATTAAGCTTACTGTCTCCGTGCTTTACAAATTTCTAATTCATCATGGATTCATGCCTCATCTTTAATTAGCTCAAAGTTCTACGCACTAAAACATGATTTGTGCCTCCTATGTAAAAGTTTCATGATGGTGTTGATTTATCTCCAAAAACCGATTGCTACTCAACCTCATAACCAGTGATCAAAGGTAGATCGACAAAAATCATGTTTCATCTTAATGAAAATCAGTATCACCTCAAGTAAAATGCTTATTTCAAATGAAATCAATGATAAATAATGAAATCTGTTTAAAAATCAGTACATAAACATTTAGTTTCTAACTCACATTCCCTTACCAAAATCTTAAATTTAAGGAGACCTTAGATACTATACATTAGTCACAGCTGGTCTTGTCAGTAAATCATCAATGTGAAATTATTAAACCTTAAAACGTTTTTCAGAATCCTTAAATTACATTCAATAGTTTGACTTCTAAGACATAAATGTTGAAATCCATAATGTGTCAGGAATGCTAACTTCACAAGTTTGAGGAAAGTACGCCTCAATAAACTTTCTTTATAAGGAGCTACGATAAACCAACTTCATTGTCTGAGCTTTTGTTTAGACACATGAAATTGACAAATAATCTCACACATACAAGTTATTCAAACAATTCTGAAGGACCCATTATTTTTCATTGTTTAATATCTCCGTCACAAGTTTGCACCAATCAAATAATTTCTTTGGGCTATCTGCTTGTTATTTTAGTACAGTTTCAAGTATTCAATGATGTCTAAATGGCAGTAGCCTAGTCACTCAAATGCACTAATTATAGTCTGCTTGGTGGATATTTATGGATTTGTATGTCTTGTGATTTCAGTATGTTCGTCTCGGCGCAGTAGAGATTCTGGATACCAGCGTCTATCACATTAGTTGAAATGTGGAAATAATAAAATGGTTATTCGAGTGCTAAGAACTTTCCAAAACTGAATACACACTTCACTTAGTTGGTGATGTTTAAGAAGACAGAATCGAAAGAATAAAAGTAGAAACAGAGATGACAATAAGAGGGATAAAACGCTGTTACTGGCATGCAGTTATGATAACCGTGGCAACCATTCGGACTTGCAACAGACACAGCCTGTAGAAAGTGGATATGGTAATTCGTGGTTGGGTATATGCTTTTTACGTCTTCTCTGACAGTTGCTTACTAGTGGCAGTGTAGTCACTTTTGATGCTCGATTTCCCCATTTTTAGGGTTTTGTGCCATCAACCCCAAAATTGTATATAACAGCTTCCTCAATCTTAATATTTTAAAAAAGGGAAAGTGAGTGGGGTGAATTCTTGGTGAAAAATATGACGGTGTGCACGGGTGTCCGCTCTTTGATTAGGGCTGCCTCGAGGAGCCAAGTGATGATGTTTTGGAAATATGCTCTTTTCATGTTGGCCTTGTGACTATAATGTGTTGTACACCATTCGCACAATTTATTTCAAATTTAAACATCTTTATGGGTCAGATATACTGTGGAGTTTGAATACACCAAGCTGTGATAAACCGTACACTCACTGAAACTCCAGATCTCAATTTAGGGTGACCTGAGATGGAGAAATATTTAAGTGACGCAAAACTCCGTTTCTATAGCAAAGCGCAGTAAAACTAGTGATCTCAAGGTCACACAGCGCCACTAATCAGTCATTCGGTTTCAGCTTCGTTTTGGAAAGGACAGGAGGCTTGATATTCTGTGTTAGTTCTGGCAATGGTGGTCTCTCAGTTGATCCAACTTTCTTTTTAAAGAGTCAACGGATGGAGCCTCAACCACGTGCTGAGATAATGAATTCCACTAGCTGATGATTCGATGGGAAAGTCGATAGTCAGCTGACAAATAACTTGTTCTGGGCTTGTGAACCTTTTTGGAGTGTCCTCGTAAATTCTTTGTCTTTGAAGACAAGAAAAATGAGGGCATATCAGGTCAAAGGCTTTGCTGAAATCAATGAAGGCTATGTCTACAGGTAGCTTCTGGTCCTTAAGAGCGCACCAGCTTTCACGAGCCACTAATAAGTTAGTGAGACAAGAATAACCTATTCTGAAGCCGTGCTGCTTCTCCGAAAGGATCTGGTTCTTATCGAGATGCTTAAACAGATCCTTTCTGATAATCTTTTCCAAGATTTTAACAACCACACTAGTGAGGCTAATGGAGCAGTAATTCTCAGGTTTATGTTTCGTACCTGTTACAAAGACAGGACTTACTATGGTGTTCTTTCGGTCTTTTGGTAAACGCCCCTGCGTTACGGATAGATTAAAGCATATACTTAAAGGTTTCGCAACGAAGTTGGATAATCCCTTCAGTATCATAGGATGCAATTCATCGGGCCCCGTGGATTTAGCAGACCAAAGACACGAGTTCTTTAATGGTCACACTATCCAGTGTATGAGTAGGGGGGTCTGTATGAGCTGACGGGAAGGGCGCTTCTGTGGTATATACACTGCTTAAGTAGATCGACAACACTAGAGCCTTACCAAAGTCGTCCTCCATCAATGATGCGGCAGTACTGTCTCTCCATGGTGCAGGAATGTTTCCTCTTCTCTTCGTCCTTTGGTTTATATAAAAATACAAGCGTTTAGGACATTCTATGGATTCTTTAACAAGTTTTCCTTCGTACAATTTTCTAGACTTACGGAGGGTCGAGGCACAAGTATTCCGAGCTTTTTGATACTGAGATACTGTCTCATCGGTCCCCAGTAATCTAAATCTATCCCGCATTTTCCTTCTCTTACGGAGAAAGATACGGACCACCCTACTGAACCATGATGGGGAGTTTATCGGCCGCTTTAGTATTGTCCAAAGGATGCGGGGTGTGGTAAATTTTAAGTTTGAATTTCGAAATGCTTCCCAGGTCGTTTCATTGGAGGACTCTGAGTCTATTGTCCAATCTACTAACGATGCTGACTGCATGATATCTGGTATGTTTGTCTTCCCGACGTTAGGTCTGGATTGAGCCAACGCGTGCTCGTGATTGAGCTATATGGAAGTCGAATGTCAAAACTGCGTGATCACTTTTACCTAAGGGTGGCATATAATGGAGGTTCGCAACGTCATCCTCATAGTGAGTGAGTATAAGATCTAGTAAGGATGGTTCAGTGTCCGGGTCGTACCTAGTCGCTTCTTTCACATGTTGCACTAGGGAACATGTGATAACCGCATCAACTAGTTCCTGCTTGAAGGAATTTACTGACGATTCAGTCCGCAGATTTTTTCAGCCTATCATAGGTGCATTAAAGTCCCCTAGGATTAGACATCGACCACTTTTTGACCAAATATTGAGACTGCTTAACAGGACCCCATTTACCTCACAGCTCGGACTGCGATAGACCAAACCAATCAGCAGTTCTTGTATCTTGCATTTCAAGCGGCAAATAACTAATTCACACGTCCCACTTTCATGGGATACACAGTCGATAATGGCAAATGGGATGGCGTTCCTAACGAATATAGCTACTCCCCCTCCTTTACGCTTTTGTATTCTGTCGGCCCTTGCCAACGTTAAACCCTCGAAATCAAGTTTCATACTACCTATAGACTGTGCCAGTCACGTTTCTGTGACTGCGATTATGACCGGCTTTGTAATAATAATAATAATAATAATAATAATAATAATAATAATAATAATCTGTACACCTAGTTCCGATCGCTTATTGAGTAAGCTTCGGAGATTAGTGCAACAGATCCGAAGCCTATTTAAGTGGCTTCGTGCTTCACACATAGTGGCTTCGGCATAATTCTCTGTCTAAGCCATACAACCCGAAAATTTAAAATTTTTATATCCTCTTCGCCAGCGTCTAACCCAAGTTGTAGTTCTTTTTCGGCTTCCCGTCTTTTTACACGGTCTTCCAACGGCAAGTCCTTCTAGATAAAAACTCATATACCCTTTAATTTGTGTTCATTCTGTAAAATTAAGTCGCATTCATTCGAAGATTTGAATACTACTTTAAGAAGTCTGGATTGATTGGGCTTCAGGTTTGCTAGACAACCCAGTCTGCACACCTTTAACAAGGTGGCTTCGGGGATATTTTGAGGCATGAGTTGATTAAATAGCTGTTTTATGAGCACAATATTGTGCTCAGAACGGGTTTTTGGTTCGGCTCTTACTCCCGTTGATTCTACGGAAAATAACTGACCTGTCACTGTGATCAGCCTTCGATTTCTCGACTACTTTTATGGGAGCAGGATTCCGTTTTATATCGTTATATTGTTTTTTCTGTTGAAGATGCCACAGGTACTTGTAGTTTCACAACTCTTCAACCGGTAATAACTTCTATAATTTAATCGTGCTCACCCAGTAAAATCAATAGCCAGAATCGGGGAGGTTCGAAGATATATTTGATTGACTATCAATATATCGAGGATCGACTGGTCTAATCTGGCTAGCAATTGGAGGGGATGTTGTGCACGGCTTTCCCACTCGTGATCTGGTGTGGATGCATGACCGATCGCCTTCAGCTAGGCGAGTCCAGTAAAACTAATGTGGTCAGCATCTAATGTCGAAAACTTACAGAGCTATATATTTTGGGGATCGATATACCGATACATATCACTCCCCCCAGTGGGGTGGTAATGACTCCAAGACGTAACCAGACAGACGTTTAAACCCGACGAGTTATTCGTTGGTGAACACTCTTCTGATAGCATGCTATGCTTAGCAGCGTCTGGTCTTCCTTCATAATTATAAAGGACAATGAAATACAATATAGTAATTAAGAAACAAGGTACAATGATAATTTCGATTCCTCGTAAAATTCATCGTTCTTTTTATCGTCTTTTCCAGCCGTCCTGAAAAAGAAAAAAGGATATGTAAGTGCATGTCGCATTACACTCATACGTGCGAAAAAACACAAAGCGGACGAGAAAAGGAAAGTAAACACATGCGCATGTGTTAACGTAAAGACGATTTTTACAAAAGAGCCATTTTCTCTTGAAATAAATATATAAATACATAAGCACATTGAAATTGTTCTTAAATATTACATATAATACAAATAGAGATGAAACAAAATGTTAACTAGTATCTTACGTGCAATAACCGTTTAAAAGTTCTGGATACCTTACTCTTCTTCCAGAACGCGTTGTTTTGTGTCTATTTTCAGATACTTCCAAAGTATCATCGTGCGTGTTGGCTGTATAACTGGTGTCCGTGATCTGTAGTGATGATTGAAGGGCAGCCGAAGTTTGTTACCCATCGTTCAACGAAGGCGCGGACCACTGTTTCAGATGTAATGTCCTTGCTGTGTATTGCTTCCGGTCATCGAGTGGAACGGCCTACGCAAGGTAAGAGATAAGAATATCCATTCGAATCTGGTAAAGGTCCTACCAAATCCAGATTAACATGGTCAGAACGAGCATTGGGAGTTCTGAAAGAGCCTAAGGGACATTTGTTGTGTCTAATCACCTTAAATTTTTGACAGCCTATACAGTAGCGTGCTCACTCCCTTATGTCTTTATTCATGCCAGGCCAGCAAAACCGTTCTGCTATAAGCTTGATTGTTGCACGAACACCCGGATGAGAAAGTTTTTGCAACGTATTGAAGACGTTATGTCGTTAATGTTTTGGCACGATTGGACGATCCCTACCCGTAGATATGCCTCATAATAGGGCTTCCTTAAGGGTTGTTGAGGATAACTCGTGCTGAAGATCAGTGTCTTCTTTTTTAAGCTGGGTGAGTTTAAGAAGGTCGATTCCTTGTAAACTGTTCAAGGAAAATCCTCGAGACAACACGTCTGTGACTAAACTGTTTGCTCCAGAAATGTGTTGAATATCTGAAGTAAACTGCGAAATGTAGTACAGTTGTCGAGACTCACGAGGTGCGTACTTGTCTGAAGAAGAGCTTAAAGAGAAGGTAAGCGGTTTATGGTTAGTGAAAAGAGTAAATTCGCGGCCTTCGATATGGTGTTGAAAATTCCGTACAGCATAATACATAGCTAGGAGTTCCCTACCGAAAGTGCTATACCTGGATTCTGTGTCTGGCAAGCGTCTCGAGCAAAATGCTAAAGGTTGCCAGGAGTGGTTAACACATTGTTGTAAGACTCCTCCGATTACTTAGTGGGATGCGTCCACTGCGATACTAATGGGCGTTTGGGTGTCCTGATGGGCAAACATGGTTGCTTTTGCTATAAGTTCCTTAACTGTGGAAAATGTTTTCCTCACAATGTCGTCCAATTTGATGGTTTTTGCATTTTCATGAAGTTCGTCGGTTTGAGGTTTCATAGGGGACGTGCAGTTTGGTAAGAACTGTCTATAGAAACTTACAAATCCGTTGAACGCGCGTAATTGTTTGATTGTGGTCGGTTCTGGATGATCCAGAATGGCTGCCACTTAAGTTCTCAGAGGTCGGATGCCTTGAGCATCAATGGTATTTCCCAGGAGATGTGGACGCGATGCTACTTTGGAGAATATTTTGAAGATTACTCATTATATCTGAAGGAATGAATTGATATTCACTTTTAAATACTATATTTATTTAAGATGCATACTTTGAAGCAATAAATTTAGTAATTTACAGATCATGCCTGTAAAAATGGCGTGTACCTACCATTACAGAAATATATTATTGTTATTTATTATTATCTAGAGTCAGTTCCGATTTGACATTTCTGGATGTTTACGGCGATGCAGTGATTTCACACTCGTTCGAGGACAGAATTCACTGTCCGGACTTTCAATCAAACAGTCATCAGCATACGCGTGTAGAAGTTGGGACCTCAGAAAACGTCATCTATGAACATTATGAATGTTTGAGTATACTGCGAAATGAAGTCCACTTGTCGAGACTCTCGAGGGGAGTACTTGTCTGGTAGACAGCTATGTTTGGAGGCTACGGTTGCCGTTTACGTGTCAGCTGGTAAGTTTCCCTTGTCGTTCGATTTTTATTTCGGAAAATTGCACGGTTTTCTGCAAGTTCTAGAAGAATTACCGTAGTGGTCATGATCTCAGCACCGGTCGGAGTTATCCGTCTCTCGTGATCTAACAACTGACCGCTTACGTGAGGTGCCTCTTCACGGGATATGTGACCGTTTACAGTCATTACGAAATTTAAGATAACGTGTAAATGTATGACATGCACTTTATCCAGTTACACCTACTAATATGAATCGTACCCATCAAAACCAAAAGACAGAATCGAGGAGGTTCGAAGATATATTTCATTGACTATCAATATATCGAGGATCGACTGGTCTAATCTGGCTAGCAATTGGAGGGGATGTTGTGCACGGCTTTCCCACTCGTGATCTGGTGTGGATGCATGACCGATCGCCTTCAGCTAGGCGAGTCCAGTAAAACTAATGTGGTCAGCATCTAATGTCGAAAACTTACAGAGCTATTTATTTTGGGGATTTATTTACCGCCACGCGATGTTTATTTGTAAGGAATGGCATTCTAACGAATATTATTACGCAGAATAATGCTTATTTTTTGAGCTTCTTTATAAAATTCTCAATAAAATTGATTCCTAAGCATTAGACGATATTTATCTATATTCTGCAATTATTTTATTTGTGTAAGTTAATAAAGTTAATCAGCTTTGAAAGAAGCGTCAATGCACAATTTTTGGATAGAAAACGTGGTTACTAAACGCTAAAAATGTTTACATAACCCGTTGAGCAGTTATCTCTCAAATAGTTCATATCGGCCGACGGTACATATTTTTCTGATCGAGATATATTTTGCAAGCAATGAAATCTGTCAAAAATGTATCACTGAACACCTATGGAGTGCAAGATATGTGCCTAGTTATATTAATTTAATCACAAATGTAAGAAATCATGAGAAACGTAACAGTCTTAAGTACCGACCACTGTTATAATTGCCAAGTTAAATCACTATAAAACTCAGACACCTAATATCAAACTGCAGCTATTACCTTTTGATAACATCTGCTTATCATTAGTAGGGTTTGAATTTACATGAACTCATGACTCAGACGAGGGAAACCAGGATATCTTGTGATTTATTTCTTGAAGCTTTAACTTCTGGCCTTATCAAACAGACAGTAAGATGTCGACTTTGCGTAAGTTTACCATGTTCGTAACATCATATATACGATTTATTTTTGAGACATTTTAATTTACATCTGAATTCAAACTGTTACAATTAATTTCACAATGTTCATGTGCATCGTTATTAATTTTAGTTGGCATACCATAAAATATATGAATTATTTTTGGGAACCAAAAATTAGATGTTGATAGAGCAGTTTTGGCGAAAACACAAATAAAAAGGTGAAAAAAGGTAGCCACGAACCTCCAACCGATTTTTTTATTTAAGGTCACATGAAATTTGACCCAATTTGTTTCTATTGCCTTATGATGATCAGTGATGATTGAAAAATGATGCAAGTGGTGTACAAAGCTATTTGGTCATTAAACTATACCGCATATGTGTAGATTCTTTGTTAATAAAATCGATCTAAACATGTTATGTTGTGCGATGTATGTTTTGTACGAGTGTTCTGTGTAGATGTGTGTGAAAATGCCTCCATGCATGATGCGATATTTCCTTGTCTTTCCCTAAATGTAAAGTTGGTATTCGTTATACAGCCTACATTACGCACACTTTTAGCTCACACGTAATCAAGATCGTTCACCCTACTGATAATTTAATTTTTTTCCTGTTCATCACATAGTCCCTCAATCACCGCCTAAACAGGCACCTAAATGCTCTGGTACGACTGAGGTGCAAAGAGTCCGCTCTCCCTCTCGATATGCTTTCACATGGCCGCGTGTATACAGCCAGTGACAGGAGAGTTCTACATACTGCCTTCTCAAGTTGGGGGTATTTTCTAAGAAATCAAGAGGACGAAAAGCGAATATTCGGCACGTTAACTGGACTGTTGGACACGGAAGGTCCACCTAGGAGAGTTGGAAAGCCCTGATTCCAAACTAGTTGTGCACATAGGCTCTAAGATACTGAGCGAACGAATGGCGTACGAACATTTTTTCGATCATTGGCTACCGTAGGACCGCGTCTCCTAACGTTGCTCCACTACCTTGTGGATTATACCTCTAATAATAATAATAATTCATTCTGAAATAACAGTTTGTTGCATGAGGCATGCCAGTTTACAGGCAAGATCAAATCGTCAATGGCTCGAGGAGTGACTCCTCAAGGGAACCATCTGCTTTGATATAGGCACCTAGGCAGCATCACGGCCCATACGCAAATAAAATCAAATGGCTGTAACTACTGAAAATACTATTTTCACCTCAATTAAAATTCAGACAATTCACATTCATCTTTATCTTTCTTTTCTTATAGACTACGTCATTTATCTAACCTCTTCTATCCTCACTTTGTTTGTCCTCAGTCTTTAACACATACATCAGCTCGCCTGTGGTGGAAATCCTGTCCTGGCTAAACGATCTCAACTCAGACTGGTTGGAAATCGGGATATATCACCGACTACGAATAATGAACTTTCAGAGGCCCTTTCAACTCATCCGAGCCACCGGAAGCAAGAAGTCTGGTGTGAGCGAAACAATCTGTGACGATGACGTAGTGCCGGTCACTAATATCTATCGACGTCTTGGGCGATAAGTAGAGTTTTTCGGGGGGTACTTCGACCGGTCTACTGCCCCGACAACATCGATCAGACTGTTCTACCCTCCATTGCATGTGACGACTGATCCAGCATATGAAGCGAAGGTCCACAAGGGTCTCTGACTCTTGAAGCGCTACAAATCACCGGGCCCAAATGACTTACCTCCTGGACTTTTTAAAGATTATAGTGACTTTTTGATTAAGGAATTCACTGAGTTGTTCACAAAGGTCTAGCAATTAGAATATGTTCCAAAATCAAGGAATTAGTCAATAGTTCTTTTTGTCTTTGAAAAGGGTTTACGTTGTTCTTGCAACGACTGTCGGGGGATAATGATTTATATTCTGGAAATAATAATTATAGAATTCACGCCAGTTTACAGGCATGATCAATTTGATATAAATAGTAACATTAGATGTACAGAACAAACATGTGATAAAAGAAGGTTTTAAATATACTGGTTCAGTAGTTGTTTAAGTAGTACATGTATTACAGCGATCCAATGCATCAGCCGGGGTTTTTTAATATTTTTTAAATGGACAGCCTGTTGATTTATGAACGGAGTAATTAAGTTTATTTCGTGTGCCAGATCGAATTAATGATAATTATCTACAACTAGAGAAATGAAAACGAAAACTGAGAGCACAGAACAACAAAGCAGTAATTAACGAAATATATGAATCAAGTCTACCTAAATGTGTATGCCATGTGACACAGTGATATACTGTTGATGTTATTCAAATGAGTTAAACTTGCTAGGGACGGTGTAACATAAAGTGACAGCAAGTAGGTGGTTTTACTTAGGGAATGCACTAATAAAAATGGCCAAACGTTTAAAGATCCTATAATACTACTTGTGGAATGAGATACACGTACATATGCTAGACCATTCAATGCATTTTCAGAGGAGCAGTATGCATCAATGCAGCAAACAAATAATGGGAGTGATTTTATCGTACTGATAGATTGTGGTAGGTTATTCGAGAGTCTAGAAAATTTACAGGTGAAGTAATTAACATGAAGGGATGATTTAGGATGAGTTTGTTTCACTGGTGCCAAGGAATTACAGATGTCATAATGAGAAGTTTCTGCATGTTGAATCGCGTGATTGGATGTAAATATCATTGTTAAACACTAAAAAGAGCAAATGGCCTAAGACACTACCTTGTATTACTCCACTTCTAACAGGGACAGCGTTAGACAATGAAGAGTTAGTTTTGACTATTTGATGTCGATTGTTGAGGAAGGAATCGAACCAAGCTAGCAAAGGATTTTGAACCCCATAAGATGCGAGTTTACCTATAATAAGTTGGTGGCTAACCATGTCAAAGGCTTTAGAAATGTCCAGATATAGCACTAAGACTAGATATCCTTGACTACGTAGAGAATAAAATAAATTAAAGAAGTCAAAATGCCATGTAATTCAAGATCGATTTTTAAACAATCCATGTTGAATATCATTAATAAATTTTCCAGCGAGTAAATAGTTGGATAGTTCATCACTTGTAATGTTTTCCATAATCATAGAAATAACTGGAGTAATATATATCGGCCGATAATTGTTCATGTCAGTCATATATCCAGATTTGTTACGTGGTATGATGTACTCAGTTTTCCAACAGCAAGGGTAAAAACCTAATTCCCTAGAGAAAGCAAACAGCGTAAGAAGAAGAAGTGGAATATCTGGACCACCATAATTGTAGACAAAGGATGAAATGCCGTCTGCCGCATGATTTCTCGAAAGCTTAAGGGCAATATAGACATAATTATTTTCATGCATGTGAAGGAGATAGATTTTATTGAGTTGCTAGTCACGCACATAACTATTGAAGCAGAGCCACTTATGATTTCTACACCATTCGCAAAAATACCGCTGAAAAGGTCTGCTATAGTTTTAGAGTCCTATATAAAAGTGCTGTTATGCTATATGCATGGTATATCAACATCATGAGTTGCTTTAGTGCGTTCATTGAAAAGAATAGTAAATTTTTGTACCTTCAAGTTGGCATTAAGTACTAACAGCTTCTCATTAACGGCTTTTAATCTATGTTTCTTTTTAATTTGATTAAAACTTATTGTTACTTGTGCAACTACTGTGAAGTCGTTTGACTTAAAATAACGTTTCTGTAGACGTCTTAGTTTATTACGATATTTAGCTGGTATATATAATTCGTAAGGTTTATTAAACCTGTACGTTTTAAGAGGTACACAGGAATCTAAGCAAGAGTTAACAAACAGATAGAATTCGTCGATAACATCCATGAGACTATGACATGAAAAAAATTTATCCCAGCCTGATAGGTCTAACCCCAACTCAGTCCAAACTACTGGCTCCCGTCACACTTAGTAGATTGTTCAAAACCCGACAAAGATTGACTTGCGAGGACTAGGCTGGTTTTCTTTCTTGTTGAGGATGTGTTGATCATATCTTTACACCACGCCAAATGCTAGAACACTAGCGTGCTTATTACAGGCCAACGATTGTAGTGTTTCTTGATACCAGGACTGCCGTCGATTCGTTGGAAAGGGTTGTTCTCTGGGGTTGTTTGTTGAAAAAGGATGTGCCCGAGAAGCTTAAAAACAACTTAAAAGCCCTATATACAATTACCTCAGGCAGATTCAGTGCGTAAAACCCGCGGTCTCTACTGTGTAAATCAAAAAGTAGGATCAAGCATGGTTGATAAACCTCAAAATTCCACTTCAAACTTGCAACTTACAGCGTACTGAAACAAGCTCTGATAGACGTATGTGATGGTATTGTGGATCTATCAACTGAGGAGAGGCTTTTCAACCTTCGAGTATGCGCATTATGCTGTCTTACCGTATGATGATACTCAAGCCATACAATCCGCACTTACGTGGCAGTCAGTTCCCTTAGCCACTGCATGTGCTTCGCACCTTCGTAGCGCAAATTACTTTTACAAGACTGACAAGACCTTGGTCCTTCACTTACCCTAGGTTGCGGGCAGATAGAAGTATTTGAGGCGTTTTCATGGGCATACTATGCGTGGTACGTCACGGGTTTTCGCGCACATGTAACATATTGTCGTGGATTTTTTGTGTCGTTATTTATCAGCTATTAACAGCCTTTTTTCCATCACACGTAAATCTTCGTAATCTTTGTGCTTGCAAGGTAGATTTTGTTGCAATTTATAAGCAGTTTGACGTATTTCTTGCTCACCACCTAAGTAAATATGTAGTTAGCGTAATATGGTTATTTTTAACAATACAAAGTCAAACAAGTCAAATCACCATTTTTCTAGTCGAAAATAGATTAAAGATTGAGTTTTCATGAGAATAAATCATAAAACCCATTATATATGGTTCACCTCCTTGATT